GGAAACACATATTTAAGATCAACTTGTAAGGTCCTCTGCGAACAAGTTCTGCTTTTTTCCTGGTTGGACATTGAGGATGGCCAGTCGGTAGGGTCAACAAGTGCAACCTTAATCTACGACTCTCAATATGGGTTTACAAAGGGAAAATCTTGTCTAACAAATCTGCTAACGTTTTTTAGGAAAGTCTTCGAGGTAGTAGATAATGACGAAAATTACGATGTTATTTACTTAGACTTTAGCAAAGCATTTGACAGCACTGCATCAGAGGCTTCTGAGAAAAATTAAGGCTCATGGTATCGAGGGGAAAGTTTTAAATTGGATAAAATCATGGCTCACCGATAGAACTCAGAGGGTCAGCGTAGATGGTGTTAAATCTGAGTGGGGCCGTGCAACCAGTGGGGTTCCCCAGGGGTCAGTACTAGGCCCACTCTTGTTCATAATCTACATAAACGATCTAGATACTGGGATCAGCAGTGACATAAGCCAGTTTGCGGATGACACCATAATAGGGCGGCAAATTAATTCAGGGCAGGATGCAAATGCATTACAGAAGGATCTAAATATACTGCAGGGGTGGTCTGAAAAATGGCAAATGAAATTTAACACCAGCAAGTGCAGAGTACTTAATATTGGAAGAACATATACTTATAATGTATACAGCCTTAACAACATCAACCTAGAGAAGTCGACTTGTGAAAGAGACCTAGGGGTACCTGTAAGCCCGGACCTACGGCCTAGAAAACAGTGCGCTAATGTTCGAAATAAGGCAAACAGAGTATTGGGTTTTATATCTAGAAGTGTAAGTAACAAGAGTGCAGAGGTCTTATTGCAACTATATCTTGCGCTAGTCAGACCGCACTTCGATTATGCGGTTCAGTTCTGGTGCCCCTATTATAGAATGGATATAAATTCACTTGAGTCGGTGCAGCGAAGAATGACATAAATGATTCCGGGACTTGGAAACCTTCCATATCAGGATAGGTTAAAGAAACTTAACTTGCATTCCCTAGAAAGACGAAGAGTGCGGGGAGATATGATAGCAGTATTTAAGTAGGTGAAAGGAATCAATAAAGGGGATATAGATAAAGTTCTTATAATATCCGAGCACTGCAGGATAGGACTCGGAGCAACGGATTCAAGTTGGATAAGTTTAGGTTTAGGAGGGAGATAGGAAGAAACTGGTTCACAAATAGGGTGGTGCGGGAACTCTGGAAAGTTTCAAAAGGAGGCTAGATAGATTCATGGATGATAGTGGTAGTAACTCTCGACAGGAGCTGCCATGCACAGGCCAACCAGCCTATTGCAGACTCCTTATGTTCTTAGGTGCAGCCCTGGATGCAGCACATTCGAGCTGTGGGGGTGACACTGTATCTATTGGCTGTGAAGAATGGAGCTGTGGTGGTGACACTGTATCTGTTGGCTGTGAAGAATGGAGCTGTGGTGGTGACACTATCTGTTGGCGCCCTTAGCATCTTTAGCGCCCTTAGCATTTGCTAACCTCGCGTAATGGAAGCGGCGGCCCTGGTTCCTGCCTCGCCAGTCATTGTTCCTGCCGTGTCACATTCTAATTGTATGATAACCGATTACCACTTCATAATGACCAAAATTCAGATAACCTATAGTGAATGATATTCTATTTTATTGTTATATGTGAATTATTTGTGTATGGGAAATTATATTTTGTATTAATGATTTAGTGTGTGCACCATATTGTGAAACCATTAACCGAAAGTATGTTATTTAAAGAATGTGTAACTACTACAGTATACATGTTTTCTGAATGTTACCGCATAATATGAATCTTGGGGAAGGGGTGTCATGGTCATAATGACATGGCTCGTCTGTCAAAACCTAATAATTCATATTACTCTCCACACCCACAAAACCTGTAAACCTTATTGAGTCTCCCAGTTGAAGCATTCGTCTCTAACCACTTCAGGAGATAGTCTTCCGTTATTTATGTCGCATTACCATAGAAACTCAAGTACTGTATACCTAAATTCCGGACAGGATGTTCATGCATTTGAATTGGTAAGAGAATACCCTTGCTTTGCGTCAACTTAGAGATGTCTGATTGCAGTTGAAGCATTCAAGATCCGTTGTGACTGATGTTGAAAGCTTCAATTGTATTTACTGTTAGTGTAATTGTCAATATAAGTCAGGGTAGAGTCGGCAGCGAGAGTGAGGTATCATTGGCGTCGGCCCTAGAGATGTTGACCGAGGCTGAAGTCACCCTCTTTTTACATATGAAAATCAGAGAATCTGATGTTCATGGTGTAATTGTTGTAAAGATGTTAATTATGAAATTAATTAACCTGAAGGGAGCTGTCAGACCAAGTATCTTTCAGAATCTACTGGGTGTAATCGACAGCTCAGGCAGAGCTGTTGGGTGAGTGGAACTCGAAGCTGATCGAGGGAGGAGTAGTGCGGGGCACTGACGCTCTCAGGCATCAGTCCAGCGTCTGAAACTCCTCCACGCACAGGTAATGTCCAGCTCCGTGTTATAGTTTGAATATGCAAGTGATACAGTAACGTAACTGACGTGTATTAAGTGAAGTAATCTCACGACATTAGCGTCCTTTTGAAACGTTGACGTTCATGTCGACAAACTCGGCCCAGTGTCTGAAACTCCTCCACCCACAGGTTCCTCTTGGCCAAGAGCCTTGTAGATTGGGACGACCTCCACACTAATTTGGGAGATGGATGAAGGCCAGTGAACTCGGGTAAATTCGTGAACACGAGCGTCAGGAACTAACCACCTCCTCTGGGATCCAGTCAACTGGTCAGCCGTTCAATGTCCAGTTTGTTGATATCACAGGCAGAGCAAACAGTGCCAGCCCCCTTCATTGTTATGGGTGAGTCCACTACTCAGTAGGGGTATATGGTGGCTGTGTTATTCCTCTGAATACACCTGTATGTATTCACCTGAATTGTCTGAGTGTTTGGAGTCAGCAAGAGTAGGTTGACCATCAGTTTGTGTGTGGGCAAAGGTACCATAGTGGTGAAGAGAAGCTACAAATTCTGGTGATGTTAAAGTATTAGTGTTGGTGCTGTAACTGGCATCATTGCCACTTGTAATAGTGCTCAAAGGTGCTATGTAAGAGTATTGTGTGTGTTCTTGTACATGTAAGTGGAAAATGTACCTAAGTTTAACAGTACCAAATAAGTAAAGCCAGGGAGTTGACCCCCATCATTCTCTCCCATTGCTTGATATCAGAATTACAGTGTACCCATGTCATAACCCCCGAGCCACAATACCAAAGATCAGAGGTTATGGAGTAATTATATGAAATGAAATAACTAGACAAAACTAATGGAGAAAATAAATGAAGTAAGAAATTAAGAAGAAACCAGGTTGAGTTTAAAAGTTATATTATAAATGGTTTCAGCGACTGGATTGTAATTTAAAATGGTACCCAGTTGGGAGGAAGGAATGAGCTAATGTAGGTGTTTTTAACTGATTTGTAATAACCATTTCTCTGTGCTGGTATCTAATAAACATTTAACGGTAACTGAGTATTTCAGATTGCTAATAATTTTGTTCCATATTCTTCCAAGGTACAGTACATTGCACAGTATATGTAATTCTGTACTAATTAATTAGGGACATAATTATTTCAGTAGGTTATGTGTGTGTTTATATGCTGCCTTTATTGATATATACATTATATATTGTTACTTCTTACCAAAGTTAGAATGTGTTTAGGCCTGTGTAATCACGAATGTGTTAGGCACATGGTACATAACAATAAACGACTGGAGTAAGACTTGGCATGTGGCTTCTCATTCTCCCATTAAATCGTGTAAGATGGCGACGAGGATGGGATTCACAAAGTGTTGAAGTCCTTGAAGAGAGGATAGTGACCACTGAAGGGAAGGCCTGCGTCAGTGGATACATTGGAAGAGTGGGGGAGTATGATGCAAACAAGGAGAACTTCACATCATATTGTGAGAAAATGGACTACTTCTTCCTGGGCCAATGAGTTAATGGCTCTTGAAATGAAAAGGAAAGCAATCTTTTTGACAGAGGTAGGAGCTAATGTTTATTCTACTCTGCTCCACACAAACCAAAAGACTCCTCACTGATTCAGATTGCCAAGATTCTGATGCAACATTTTGATCCTGCTCCACTTGAGATTGCTGAAAGTTACAAATTTGGCACAAGAGATAGAGGGAAAGATAAATCGGTGATTATATAGTAGCTTTGAAGAAGTTATCCATTCACTGTAACTTTGGACAGTTCTTGAACAGAGCTCTTAAGAGACAGGTTTTTGATAGGTCTGAATTATAAAAAAATGCAAAATAAGTGAATGAACACCACAAAATTAACTTTTGAAAAAGCATGTCATTAGCAGAGAAAAACACCAGAGAACTTGTTCCCAGTGCCGGTTGTGAAACAGTTGGCAGTAGTAACTGTGGCTACAAAGGAAGAATTATGCCAGAGAACAAGGAACACATGCTAATTTAAAATGTAAAACATGCCTAGGCAAACATGAAAGCTTTCAGTGTAAGTTCAAAAATTCAAGATGTTAAAATTGTCAGCGTATTGGACATATTGCTCCTGCCTGTGAGAAAGAAATTACAGCCTCTGCCAGAAGTGATAAAGGTAGATTATATGTCGTCGAAGGTGATGAGAAGGAAATGAAAAACGGTATTCATGAGTGTTAGAAGTTTTGAACCTGATAATGATGTGTCCATGAAGAGAAAGTTAAACATAGGTATAATGTGAACTAACGCATTAATGGCACAATTGTAACCATGGAAGTGGATACTGCAGCTGATTTCTCCATAATGAGTAGAGAAGCTATTTGTGCATGTGCCTTTAGAAGACTCGGGTATCAAGTTGAGAACCTATACTGGAGAGATTTTGAGCACAGAAGGTAAATTAGAGTGATGTAAAGTACAAAAATCTGAATTTAAAGTTGTCATTAATTATAGCTAGTTACGTGAATAGACCAACTATGTTAGATACGAACCGGTTGTGTGAACTTGTGATGGACTGGAAGGAGATATTTAGTGTTAGAATGTGTAACTGTTGCAGGTCTTGAAAAATTGCAGATGAAGCATTCAAGATCCGTTGTGACTGATGTTGAAAGCTTCAATTGTATTTACTGTTAGCTTAATTGTCAATATAAGTCAGGGTAGAGTCGGCAGTGAGTATCATTGACGTCGGCCCTAGAGATGCCAGTGATTGTTCACCGAGGCTGAAGTCACCTCTTTTTCATGGTGAAATTGTTGTAAGGATGTTAATTACGAAAGTAATTAATTAACCTGAAGGGAACCGTCAGACCAGGGGCCGGATACTCAAAACAACTCATAAGTTACGTATATTAGCGAGATACAGTACCATATATTGCAGACTCCTTAGTATTGTTTTTATGTTGATACTAACTAATTCAAAGTTTTATCATTAGGCCTAGAATAAAAGGGTTATGCCTGTGAAAAACAAAAATTACGGCCTTAAGGTTTTGCCTGGCTCTTAGGGGTAAAATACTGAAAAATGCACGTGTTAAAATCTCTATTCATTTAAAATTGAAAAAAATTTTTCATTATTCAAGTAAATAAGGGTGTTAAAACATTTAAAAGACATCCTCTTGCCTCAAAGTCTGTCACATACTCGCATTTGAAACTGATTTCTGGTAGGAACAGCAGCCGTAATTGAAATTTTATCTAAAATTAATTCCCAAAGCATGATTTTGCAGGAAACTTACGGCTTAGGTAAATGACTTTCAGAGAGGCACATTTTCCTGAAAACTATGAGGAAAGTTTCCCAGATAACCGAGAAAATTCTGGAGATGGGGGATATATTTCCGGGTTCGAGAGATGATGTAATGGGCAATTGCAGGAACTACCGAGAAAATTTTTCCATTACCATAAACATTCTGGGGATGAGGGATATTTTCTTGATTTGTGATAACTGTCTCGTTAACGGGAAAACACTCATTCATTCACGGTAGTGCTCTTCACCAATTGTTCCGGCTAACAGAGATCTCACAGTATTTGGTGTTTTACCCCACTAGAATTTAGGTAAATAATCCCTTGCATAATGTTGGCCTGTGACAAGACACATAAACTATACTAAGATAGCCTTATTCTGGGCAAATTCAAATAAATTGGTTAATGATAGTATAGCCTTGCCTAACCTAAATGACAAATCACTTCTCTTAAATTACTCATTTAGCCTAGACCCTGGTGTTTTCCTTTCAATGTTGGGAACATTTGGTCTGAATTGTCTTCAAGTTCATACAAAAAACAACAATTTAAAACCTGAAAATATATCGGATTAGCCGTAAATTTTCTTAAATTAATACTCTACCTATGATAACGTTCAAGGAAAGTCTGGAACTAGGCCTAAGGTAGCTGCTAGACAAAGTGTCTCACTGACGGCCTGACGCTCACCAAAAAAACATGTACACATTCTCTAACCTAACATACCATAACATAACATAACATAACCAAACCAAACCTATCTAACCTATACCCTATTAGTATAATTTCTTATTTAAATAATCCTCATGTTCTAACTAAATTAAGTAGGCCCCATGTTTAAACATTTATTTGCCTAAGACTGAAAAAGCAGTTATATAGGCACCTATTAATCAAGTTAATTGCAATCCATATTTTACACCTAATATCATTTAATTTTCGCTAGCCTATGGAAATTTATAGCCTTTCATGTTATCATAAGCCTTACACATAAGAAAATAGGCTAAGGCTATTGGTTGAATATTAGAAAAACAAGGCGAAGTCTTGGCAGGAATGTTCACTTGACCTCCTATTTGGCTTTCATTACTGAGGGATATTTACGGCTATACAACATTAATAAGTTCTATCTGCAAGTTTACTCAGTCATAAAACATATTTTTACCCTAAGTGTGAACAATACAAACCTTCTATTTTGGTAAGAAATACTTTATAATGTGTAAGAAGACAAAAGATGCGTCTCTTCCAAACTGAGACAAACACAAACACTCAAGCCGCTTATTATACAACAAAAAAGTTACGAAAAAGACAAAAGTGAAATATCATATTTCAGTATGTTGATGTACAAAACATTTTCTTCTTTATTCTATGATAAAACAAGTCTAACAAGCATTATTACAACATATATTATTATTATTTTCTATACAATCGGGAATTAGTCACTACTACATCCGGGTTGAGAGTGTTACACAACCTCGGTAGCTGGTGTAAGTTACTTGCGGTAACTTATGGAGTTCGATGTCAAATAATGGTTTTGAGTATACCGATCTGAGACTGTAAGTCCATACAGTCCCATAAATGTTTTTGAGTATCCGGCACTAGGGGCTGCATACTCAAAATGCCCCATCAGTTACGTACAGTAGCAGACATACGGTACCATAACTTACAGACTGCTTACAGTCCCGCAAATTTCTCACACTCAAAATTTAATTACGGGTACGTAAGAAGTCTGTAACTCAAGTGTTTACACTGTAAATCAGTTCTCTTGTCCGAGTAGATGGCAGTGCATGAGCTAGTTGGCCAATCGTCGCTCAGTTAATAAAATCATCAGCCAATCACAAGAGAAGGATAAATCAGCTGAGATCAATGCACGTGATAGTAGTTTGTTTATATACAAAAGATAGAAGGATCAACTGCAAAAACGAGGCGACCAATTTTCAGCGAGGATGAAGTACTCATGGTGTGTGAAATCACCAAAAGAAAATAATCTTAGGGAAGTTGGACTCGAGATGTACAGTCAAACTGAAAAATCATGCCCCCAAGTATATATATATATGTATATATATATATATATATATATATATATATATGTATATATATAACTATACATATATATATATATATATATATATATATATATATATATATATATATATATATATATATATATATATATTCGTTTTCTTCAATCAAGTTATCACCAACTAGACAAAGGATTTAATCATCTTCATACTCGAGAATTTTTAGTTCATAGTGTTCTTTAATTAACCTCTAGTCTTCCATTCACACACATACAGTACATACATACATACGCGTGTGCGAGCGCACACACACACCTTGGGGTCCATTCCACCCTACATAAGTAAACTTGAGTGGCTCTCAATATTTCGCTCAGTAGAACTCTGTGGGGATTTGCCGAGCTTTCCCAAAACCTTCCTTGAAGCGTTATTGACTTTCTTAAAAGACCCGCTCTTCTCATTTGTATTCTGAATAGTTTCGTTGTATTCTTTTCATTATTCGGGCAGTGAAACTCCTACCCGAGTCTTCCAATTTTGTAAATGGATGTGGATTTTGCCAGTGAAATTTGGTGATAGTGTCTAGCGGTGTGTGTTGATTTCCTGCATTAACTCTGTCAAAGTCAATAACTGTTGTAGTACTTCTGAGGATTGTTGTAGGTCTATAGCTACTAGTGGAGATTGTTGTAGGTGTATAAATACTAGTTAGGATTGGTGTAGGTCTAAAACAACCAGTAGGATCTGGTTAAGGTTTAAATACTTTACTAAAGTAGTAGGGTTTGTTGTACGTCTATATTTAGTAGTACTGGGGGATAGTCCTGATCTATCTCTGTCCCTCCTCGGTGGGTCGGCCTCGACCATGATCCCCCACCCTCGGGTCATATGCATTTCCATAGTTTTGAAGATGGAGATGAAATTGGGTAGGGAGGTGCTGGTAACCTAAGGAATGGTCGTGCACTCTCTCCTTTCCTTCCATCCGGGCAAAGTCGGGTATCTTAACTGTTTTACTTATAAAAGTGATTTTACTCTTAAGAACTAAGCTACCAAAAATATG